TAGCAAACCTTTTGTTGTTACGACAGTTTACCGACCACCCAGTGCATTATCAGAATTCTTTGATCATTTTGAAAAACTGATCAAAGCTATAGATAATGTAAACAAGGAAATCTACATTCAGGGTTATCTATATTGTGATTTGCTAAGACCAGATAAAGATTATAACATACCAACAAAGAAAATAAAGTCTTTGTATGAATTATATCAGTTATCACAACTGATAGATGAAGCTATTCGAGTAACTATGACAACTACTAGTCTAATTGATCATATGGTTACCAATACACCAGAAAAAGTTTCTGATTCTTGTGTCATTCACACAGGTATAAGTGATCATAGTTTGATATTTGCTATCAGGAAAATTTCTGTTATAAAGAAACAAGAGAATATAGTTGAGATGAGAAACATGTAAAATTTTAATGAAGAAAAATTTGTTGCGGAACTGCTCAAACATCACTGGGAACAAGTGTACTTTTTTGCTGAAGACCCAAAAGATATGTGGGAGATTTGGAAAAAAATATTCGTAGAAGTCCTAGATAAGCATGCACCACTTCGATGCAAAAAAAATCAGGTCTAAAAATGTCCCTTGGATTACAAGTGATATAAAGAAACTTAATAATACACGGGACAAATTAAAAAGAAAAGCCATTTTAACAAACCTAGAAAATGATTGGTTTGATTATAAAACGTCTAGAAACAAAGTAAACATAGAACTAAGGAATGTCAAAAAATATTACTATTCCTCAAAAATAGCTGGTCAAAAATTCAATCCTAAAAAAGCTTGCAAAAGTATAAACAACTTATTAGGAAGGCAAAACAAACCAACAGTGGTGAACGAGATTAATCTAGGGGGGAAAATTTTTACAACTCCCAAAGATATTGAAGAGGGCTTTAATGATTACTTTTCAAATATTGATTTAGCTAGCAAAATTGATACTTCAAATTATAATTTTGAAACATATACTAAAACTGCTGAATCAGAATTTGCAGCATTCCAACCTGTTACTGTCGGTCATGTCTGTCGTCTCTTGCATGGGATTTCAAGCAATAAAGCCACTGGCATTGACAAAATTTCTTGTAAAATTATTAAGATAGCTGCACCAGCTATTTCAGACTCATTGACGTTTATTTTCAATCAGGCTATAACTCTATCCTCCTTTGCTAATGAATGGAAAATGGCAAGAGTAATATCTTTGTATAAAAATGGCCAACGGAATATTCCAGGAAACTATAGACCAATATCAGTTTTACCTGCGATTAACAAAATTATGGAGCGAATTATGTATGATCAACTGTATAACTATTTAACAAAATTTGAACTCCTTAGCGATTCTCAATTCGGTTTTCGAAAATCTCATTCTACAGCAACTGCATTACTGGACTGTATCAATGATTGGTATATGAATCTAGACAGAAAAATGTTTAACCTAGTAGTCTTAATTGATCTAAAAAAAGCATTTGATACTGTTGATCATCAAATTCTATTAAGGAAGTTAGAACTTTATGGAATAAAAGGAGAAGCTCTAACTTTGCTCAAATCTTATCTCACAAGCAGAAACCAGAAGTGCCAAATTAAGAATTCCTTTTCTACAGAGAGATTGATTAAAAGTGGCGTACCACAAGGCTCTATTTTAGGACCACTATTCTTTCTGCTAGATATAAATGATTTACCTCAGTGTCTAAACAAAACAAAACATCGATTGTTTGCTGACGACACAAATCAGACAGCATCGGGAGATTCTATAATTGACCTTGAAACTGCAGTAAATTCTGCTTTGGAAAACCTCAGGAAATGGTTAATTGCCAACAAATTCAGTCTAAATGTAGCTAAGACAGAATTTATGTTAATTGGTTCAAAGGCAATGATTAAAAAAAATTCTGATTCACGGAGAAGGTTCCTCGCGCTGAGAACAAGGTTCGTCACGCTGAGGACAAGGTTACTCACGCTGAAGACAAGGTTCTTGACGCTTAGGACAAGGATTCTCACGCTGAGGACAAGGTTCATCACGCCGAGGACAAGGTACCTCACGCTGAGGACAAGGTTCCTCACGTTGAGGACAAGGTTCCTCACGCTGAGGACAAGGTTGTCAACGGTGAGGACAAGGTTCCCAATGCTGAGAACAAGGTTCCTCACGCTGAGGACAAGGTTCCTCACGCTGAGGACAGGTATCTAACGCTGAGGACAAGGCTCCTTACGCTGAGGACAACGTTCCTCACGCTGAGGACAAGGTTCCTCACGCTGAGGACAAAGTTCCTCACGCTGAGGACAAGGTGCCTTACGGTGAGGACAAAGTTCCTCACGCTGAGGAAAAGGTGCCTTACGGTGAGGACAAGATTCCTCACGCTGAGGAAAAGGTGCCTCACGCTGAGAACAAGGATCCTCGCGCTGAGGAGAAGGTTCTTCATGCTGAGGACAAGGTTTCTCACGCTGAGGACAAGGTGCCTCACGCTAAGGACAAGGTTCCTCACGCTGAGAACAAGGATACTCGCGCTGAGGACAAGGTTCCTCACGCTGAGAATAAAGTTCCTCACGCTGAGGACAAGGTTCCTCACGCTGAAGACAAGGTTCCTCACTCTGAGGACACAAAGTTAGAAACGTTGTCCTCAGCGTGAGGAACCTTGTCCTCAGCGTGAGGAACCTTGTCCTCAGCGTGGCGAACCATGTCCGCAGCGTCAGGAACCTTGTCCACAGCGCAAGGAACCTTGTTCGCAGCTTGAGGAAAATTGTCCTCAACGTGAGGAAACTTGTCCTCAGCTTGAGGAACCTTGTCCTCAGTGTGAGGAGTCTTGTCATCAGCGTGAGGAACCTTGTAACGGGAACATATTTAACGCGGCTAACACGAACTTAAATGGTTCCAATTGTATGTCTCAGTCAGCTTGTCGTAGTAATAAAATTCCTGTGAGAATTACAAGACGAAAAAAACATGCTCGTATGAT